ACTAACAAACTAACAAACTAACAAACTAACAAACTAACAAACAAACAACAAACAAACAAACAAAAATTAACAAATGGATGTATAGATGGACAAGTGATTGTCATTTTTTGAGAATAGTGAATGAAAACATGCCTTTTGGTGATATTTGAGCAAGCAATGACTGCGTAAATACATAAATGCATAACTTAATGCATACAGACGAGATTTATTTACCTAATTTCACATAGTCCTGCTGGCCCAAAAGATGCTTTCATCCCGGCTGCGGTAACGACAGTTTCGACTTTGATTTCGACTTATCAACACTCCCGGCGGGAGTCGAGCCATGACAGTACAACGTGCGCTCTCGACGAATGCGCTTGGGTCAGAAGTGACATGTTAATTCTTTTCTTTTATAAACATTCTTTGGTGGGATTTTCGATGACTTATATTTGCTATAACAATCGACTACACTACTTATTTTTCGTTTATAAGTAGGGTTTCGAGACTACCAGTAAATCAATTATGTTCATCTTATTTCGTTTAAGATAATGAAGGACGGATAGTTGAAATTTACCACAAGTTTCTATTCAATTTCGCATCACCTTACATTAACAAACATTACTATATATATATAGTCATACATTACAAAAAAAAACACACACACATAGGTACCGGAAATTACCCAAGTCTGTCTTTTTAAGAAAAATAAAACTAATAGCACTATAATCAACATTGCTTCACCAATCCAATATTCACTGGCGTCTGAATGAATGTGGAAAATGTTTTTCTTGTTGCGTGAATGTGGACCTAAAGGGTATTTGAAAAGGATGTCAACCATGAGGCCATGCTATGCAATAAAGAAGGTACAAAGTGTGTTTCCTCCGGCCGGATGGGGCAGACGACGAGGCTAAGGCGAGGTTGCGTGCTTTCGAGGCCAGACTATCAGAAGTGAAGAGGATACAATTTGACTGGCCTCAACTTCTGCGCCTCGAGCATCTTCCGCTCCGAACGGCCACCAGTTCGCCCCAGCAACCGGAGCCGGTGAAGACGACATTTCGTTTGTCCCGTTTCTGTCGCTTTTGCTCGAACGCCAAGCCGAAAGTGGCCGAAAGAGGCAGAAAAAGGGGCAAACCGATACCACCGATTCCACCCAATCCTTCGAGCCTCAAGGTCAAAGGACTTTCCGTCAGTCGCCTCGTCTGGTGGACATATGCACGAGTGGACCGTGAAAGAAACCAGCCTCGGTTACCAGATCACGTTGCCACAGGAATTGCGAACTTATGCCGACCCGAAAGCAGTGCGGTCAACGCAGGTTAGGCTCTGGCTAAGAGCCTCGTGGATGCGAACGAGAGTGCAGGCACAAACGCACATTGTTTCATGATGACCCAATAACGTTGCTAAGTCGGCCCTGGCGACCACTGCAAATTAGGCAGAAGACGCAAGATTCAGACACCGAGGCGACAGGATCGAATCCCACTGCAGGCCTGGATGATTTGCGGACAAAGTTAAGCGTATTGCGATAAAGATGATGATTATGGTGGCGATGATTATGCTGATTATGTCAGTGATTCTGGCGAGTATAATGAGGCTGATAGTGATAGTGATGACGATA